CTGCATGGGCTAAATGTAGGTAATTTTTTTTACTTGTTTTGCAGTGATGGCAGTGTAAGTCAATCCCAGGATGACAGCATTGTTGGAACAAGGCAGTGCAGACACAGCCTGGCCATCATGCCTGTCCCTGGAACACTTTCATCTAGCAGCCCGGACCTGTTGCAACCTACAACCAGCATTCTTGATTTTTCTAATCCTTCAGGTAAAATAATACCTTTCTTCTGATGAGTCTGTTTAATGAGCTTAGAGCCAGAGAGCAGTGTAGTAGCTAAATAAATAAGGGCCAGGTCACAAATCAGTATGCAGTCGTTTTGGATGATGCCTTTTTAATGAAAACCAATCTACTAAGCCACTTTTATTTGCCTGTTCCTAAAGCAAAAGCTCTTAATATTTATGCAGTATTGTCAGTAACAATGAGCTCGGTGAATAAAGGCTCTGCAGCATTTGCTTAATTTGGCGTTCGGTTTGCTAAACCAAAGGTAGTAGATGGAGTGGGGGGGAAAGCCCCCATCTTTTACCAGCAGCCCGTGTGTGAAATGCCGTGGGCATTTGTTCATGCCATGGCAGTTCCTGAACTGTCCAAGAAAACCTTAAACAGAGCCTTACTTCTTCAGCCTGCTACTTAGGGCTGCTTCACTGTAACTTTTGAGTTGGCTCCTGCAAGCAAAAGCAGAACTGTATTTAGACCAGGGGCTCTAAACCTCCCAGCCAGAACCAGCCTGCAGCAGTCATCCAGCCCGCGGGCTCCCCCTGGGTATGGAAATTTGGCAGTGTGGGGGTGGTGGCACTGCTTCTCTGCTGCCCAAACTCTGGACTCATGGGGAGCCCTAGGCCCTGCATGCTGGATGTGGTGCCCAATCCCAATGGACAGGACAGTGCTGGGCCCTTGGGCCCAATCCTGGTTTGGAGAGGGAGCTGGGAGGGATGGTGCCAGGCCCTGGAGACCCCGTCCTGGCATGTGAGGGAGGGAAGGGGGTGGTGCTGGGCACCCAGGCCTGATCTAGTTTGCAGATGGGCCCTGTGCCACTCCTTTGGTCCACAGGGTCAAAAGGTTGAGCACCAATGGTTTAGACAGATAGATTTGCTTCCTATTCAGTGGCTAGGCTCTGTTTGCTCCTCTCTGCTTCCTGACCATCTTTTGCCAGCTCCCATGCCACAATGACTTGGCTTCTGTACACCTGACCCCTGTGAAGAAATATCCCAGAAAGCATAATGAGAATGAGTAAGGGTGGGAGAGTTTTAAGTTAGTGATACTGGTGCTGCACTTTTATAAGCATTAAAATCAATCAAGTATATATCATAAAGAAAAAAAAACCCTCAAAGAAATATTTTTAGTTTTTAACTTTGTGCCCTCTGCATTGCTGCTGCTGCAGGAATACAGTAGTGGGTGACTGTAGGGGTATTTGACTGTATGTTGCCTGTAAACGCGTCAAGTCAGAATCACGTTTCCCTATTGCCAATATAAGTTCTATGTATAACTATATGTTCTGTCAAATGCCTTATGGCTAGGACTTAGATTTATGTAAGTTTGTAGATCTCTTTTAAAAGGGATGTGTACATGCATATTTTTATGCATACATATCTGTGACAACTCTCTTTGAATTTGCTGCAAATTCATTTTTACTACTTACAAGAGAACCGTGCATTTTCCCTGAGCATCTTCATTAAAACTTGGGTAGGTTTTTCCATAGTCGTGAGCTGTAGCTAACTAGTCTTTTAAAACCTATTCGTAATTCAGATTTGTCTGTAGTAGGTGTAGAGTCATTTTTGAATGTTACATGCTTCTGATTATTATTAGTTATGTCTAGATCTTGATTTTTTTTTAAATGAACTTAAATGGATTTTATTTGTTTTTCTTTTTGGTGTCTGCAGCTGTTGGTTTTTACTGTAAGTATTTTGCCTTACTGATATCTAAACTTTAAATTGCATATCTTATTTGTTGAAGTGAACAAGTTTGTGACAGTATTTGCTTATCTATTTGAAAGGTGTGCGCTGTATGAGCATTTCATAATTAAACCGAGTATTTATTTTGTTGGGTGGCAGAAAGACTGGGGGGAATCAGGATGATTTGCTGCAGAGGTTAGCATCCTTTCATTAATAGTGGGCTGAGTTAATACAAGTTAGTCCTAATGAAGACATAAAAATAGGTGCAGAATGAGGCCAACACCAAAAATAATAAAATGGCTGCTGTGAAAATTCAGTTTTCAGTTTTATCTACTTAACAACTCTCTTCATGGCGTCACAAATACAAGCTGGCAGAACTCTGTAGAATGAAAGCCAGAAACCTGTATATAAATTCTAAACATAAAACTGAAAATTAATCTCACAATATGTGTAAATTGTCAGGCTTTCTTCAATAATACCAGGTTTTTTACTAGGGGTAAACATAAAGGGGCAAATCCTGTTTCACCTTCATGTGCCTATATGATAGCTACATAACTGAAAGTTTTGGTGCTTTCACAGTTTACCTGTGCAAAATAGTTTGCCCTTCTCATGTACCTGCTGGCTGGGAGAGAAGGACCATGCCCTTTTTTAGCCCAATAGTTAACCTGTAGCTAGAGCACTTCCCAGTCAGTGGGCAAGTGGGGTTCTCAGTCCCCCACATCCAAAGGGATTTGAACTTTCATTTCCTACTTCCTAGGCAAGCACTCCACGTACCAAGCCACCAGCCAGACAGTACTCAGAATGCTCTCCAGCACTGCCTTTCTTATCACTTTCCCTTTTAAATGAGGACTTTTGTTTTTTAAAAAAACCCCAAAAAACAAAGAAAACAAAAAACCTATTTTTATCTAAAAGTTGTTTTTTATTGTTACTCCTTCGGCTGCATGAAACATTTAAAATTCATTGGATCCTCTTCAGCCAGCTAGAAAAGTATTACTATAAACCTTCATAATAGTGGGAAGGTTAGTAAAAGCAATGAAGAAGTTTTCCAACTATTTCAGTTGGTCTAATAAAAGATATCAGGTTTACACAAAGAACCTTATCTGCCGTTGACAGTACTCAGCACTTCTTTTTTAGAAAACCATTTTCTTAATACTTATTTTTCCCCCGTCTTCACCTTGATTACAGCTGCTGCTGAGACTTCTTTTTCTTTCAGCTGTGTAAACCTGCTAGTATCAAATCACAAATGACTACTCATCTTTTATTTCAGAAACCATGACACTCTACCACAGGTATTGTTGGTCATGGCTGAACCAAAGTTCAAAATCTCAGAGTGGGGTGTTCACCTGAGCTGATTTCCTTTTTCTCATTAAATGGGAAAAAATGGAGAAGTTAAGGGATAGCGTAGTCAAGTCTTCATATAAATAATATATATATTATTAGTATATAATAGTAAAGGAGGATTATATTTATATACCTAGATTTTTACAGTGGCACCAATACTGTAGTATTGGGAGGCAGAGTAAAAGAGGATTTTATATCTATATAGCTACAGATATCTATACAGATATCAAGAGAGAGAGAATCCTCTTTTACTCTGCCTCCCAATACTACAGTATTGGTGCCATTGTAAAAATCTAGGTATATAAGTCAAAAAGTATTTTTATAGAGAAAATATTTGGTTCATCCGTTGAAGATGCCTCTTCATTTCTTTCACCATAGGCATTATGTGCCTTGCCTTGTGATCCCTGACCAGACAGTTCAACACGAGTTCACACACTCTGTGTGAGATGTCACACTGCTACCCCTGGATTTAGGGGCAATAAATAAGTAAAGCCTGGTCAAATTTCAGTAGGAGAAAAAGAGAACATTGGTCTCTTTATAGTAGAGGTTTGAATATCTGATGGGGCCAATTACATGTTTTGTCCAAGAATTAGTTCTAAAATAATTCTGAGATCAGAAGGAATGATAGCTGACTCTTCTGAGACAATATATTCACAATTCCAGTTGTTATAAGGTATCTTCCCTCTTTCTTTTTTTGTTCTACAAAAAAGTGCCAGATTGAATGGTTGTCAGTTTATAAACAGAAAATGGTGGGGGGAGGGTGTCCATTCCATTTTAAAGGACATGATTTTTCCACCTCGGAAAGATGTGTTTTAATAAATTAACCATAACTACTGAATAATTGTAACAAATATATTCAACTGAAAGAGAATTGTTCACAAGGAACATGACTCAGTAAATTAAACCAGGAACTTAATTGATTAATGAGACATTTATTTCCTGTTATAAATCTGCATAAAAAACAGTTATTTTCTAAATATTAAGTATTGTAAATAAATGCAGAATAAAGAGGTATCTTTTTGGCTGAGGTGTTCTACAGATCAGAGCCTTAAAACAGAAAAAAATACTCTGAAGCTGTGGATATGAACATTTTTCTGGTATGGCTTTATTTGTTTGTTTTTAGGGGGTTTTTTTAGAAAGCTTGCATGCAAATTATGAGATTTTCCTTTCTGTCAATTAAGGTGACAATGTGCAAAGCAGAGAAAATGCAATAGGTGGTTTGTGCTGTGGCATGCATGTGGTCATACCAGAAAAAGAAATTAATTTAGTGCTTTAAGTGAGATTACAATCCATCCTGTGTTGTTTTTTTTTGTAAATTTGTAAATAAACATTTACATGTTTGTTAATGAACATGTACATCAAGATTTTGGGATAAGGGGTTCTTCTTTTTTTTTTTTTTTTTTTTGGCTGCTGTATAATACATCAAACCTCTTTTTATCTTTTCTCTGTAGTAGCTTTGCATTTTAAAGGTATTTTTCTTGCATTTAGATATTCCAGATCAAGTTATTAGAGTTTTCAAAGCAGATCAACAGAGTTGTTACATTATCATCAGCAAAGACACTACAGCGAAAGAAGTTGTGAGTCATGCTGTGCATGAATTCAACTTGACAGGTGCATCAGAGACCTACTCTCTCTGTGAGGTGTCTGTTAGTCCTGAGGGAGTCATCAAACAAAGAAGGCTTCCAGATCAGTTCTCAAAATTAGCAGACAGGATTCAGCTCAATGGAAGGTAAATGTGCCCTTGGTTTTTTTTTGGTTGGGTTTTCGTGTCCTTTAATGTTGAAGCATTTGAAAAAAACATATTGGAGAGAAGTATCCTAATTCAGATTGGAAGAGAAAGTTCAGAAAAGCCTTTGTATTTCGGAGAACTGTTAAAAACATAGCCGTGTATTTTGGTATACAAACTTACGAACAGAATTACTGCCCTAGGTAATGTGCAAATGAGTAGCCTTGAATTATTTTGAACTGTAATTATAGAGCATTATCCACCTACTGAATTTGACACACACTTTTTCCTGCTTTTCTGTCAGAAAAATGTTTCATGCATCAATTCAGTACATAATTGGAATATCAGGCACACTTAGAGCAGGGGAAAGAAGGCCTGAAATACATAACTATTACCTGAAGGTGATAGTAATGTATTTCTGCCTTCTGGTACTTATGATTTCTGATGCTTTGCATCTGTAAAATTGTAGAATTACACTGAATTCCAGTGCCATTTGTCAGCACTAGGAGGAAGGTGTCCTTCGGCTACTTACTATATTTGGGTAGGAACTCAGAAATGCTAACAACTCCTGGAACTTTCTTGCCTAATGGATCAGGCATTAGCAACACAGCTTTTCTGGTAGTGCATCTGTTTCTGCACTCTCAAACTGAGTTTAAAAAAGAAGCATAAATACAGTATTTTTTCTCCTATACGAACGATTGTGGTCATAGAAGCGAGTCCTCCTGCAGTCATTTTTGTAAAATGTTATCCCGAGACAGAGAATACATATAACCAAGTTGTACGTGGACAGTCTGGCTGGTAACTATTCAGATGATACAAGGAAAATATTGTTTATCATTTTAAAAAAATGAAAGGCAAGCAGTATCTTTTAGTAGACCAAGTTTTTGGTTGGAATTGACTTGGGTAAGCTTTCAAATGCAGTGCATTTGTCTTCAGATCTGAGCTCAGACATGAGGAAGGATGCAGTGTATTTGAGAGAGCTTGTTGTCAGGTCTGAACTCGGACCTGAAGAAGGGTGTCTTGCATTCCAAAGCCGGTCTAGGTCCATCCCAACCATGCAATCGATCCTATAAAAAATACCACCCACAAAAATCCTTCGTGGCTACAACATTACTTCAGCACTACAAAAGCAGTGAAATACCATCAGCCGTTGGATCACAACCCCTTTCAGGTGATGAGAATAAGATGTATGATGGTTCCCATTTAAAAAGGGAATAATGTATAATATGGTGATATTTACCTTATCACAATAAGTTTCTTTTTCTAAAATGTACTATTGCTGTGGACTGATATTGCTAAATCAGTCCATTCTTGTGCAAACTATTCTGAGTATTCTCTCAAACACAATGGGTTTCAGCTCTTTGACTGATGACTTGATCCAGACCAGGAGAAATGCGATAAACTAGAAAATTCTGTTTGGTCATCTTTGCCAGATAGCAGTGAGAGTTTATGAAAGAGATTTGTAAGTCATCTCCTTTGGACCGTGAAAGTGATTTTTCTCCATACCTTTTCCTTTCCCTACTACTTTGTTTTTTATGCACCCTACTAATATGATAATTTCCATTTAAAGCTGGGAAAAATATGACATCAAGATCTCAGTGTTTCTTGGGATCGATGTCTGTCTAAAATGTTAATTTACTGCTGCATTTGTAAATAGGCAAGATACTGACCTTTTGCTGATGAGAGAGGCTATTATCTAAACAACTGTGTATATGAACAAGTGCATGGTGAAGTGAAGAAAAGATTAAAATGGCTTTAAGTATTTGACAACTAGATTTTATTTTGGCAATAACAGTTTTGTGCAGGAGTTGGAGCCTGATACTGAGAGCTGTCCTGTGCTGCTGTTCCTTGTTCTGTCACTGTTACAGTCTGGTTTGTACATCTCTGAAGTTAGGATAGTGCCTACCTCAAATGGTAATGTTAAATGTATTTGTGCTGTCAGAACCTCAGAGAAAGGTCACTCTAAATTTAATTTTTTATACTGTACAATTTATATTTAGGTATTATCTGAAAAACAATATGGAAACAGAGACCTTATGCTCAGATGAAGATGCCCAAGAGCTGCTCAGAGAGAGTCAAATATCTCTTCTTCAGCTGAGCACCATTGAAGTGGCAACTCAGCTTTCAATGAGAGACTTCGAATTATTTCGCAACATTGAGCCTACTGAATACATTGATGACCTTTTTAAGCTGGACTCGAAAACAGGAAATGCTCACCTGAAACAATTTGAGGATGTCATTAACCAAGAGACATTTTGGGTTGCCACAGAAATTTTAACAGAGCCCAACCAGCTCAAAAGAATGAAAATTATTAAACATTTCATTAAAATTGCCCTCCACTGTCGAGAATGCAAGAACTTCAATTCCATGTTTGCAGTTATAAGGTAATGCACTATACTTTCGACAGTTTTTTGGACATCTGAATATTGTTTTTTATTCTTACTAAATTACAGTTGTATCTTATGCACAGTAGCAAATGCAAGTTTGTTAACTTACACTGTTTGCACGGTTATAATTCGGAGTGGTACGAGCACAATTCCATTTTAAAAGAACTGCCACGGTTCTCATGCTTTCATTACAGTCTCTTCCATTATCAAAAAATTCCTCCTGTTCCATGTTTGTGCTGTGGTTATTTTTTTTTCTATATGTATATTCTCTTCCCTCAAACTTCCTCCAGTCTGTTTTACCTTAAATCTGCTCATTTTAATTTTGTTTCTTTTTCTTCCCAGGCACTCCACCTTCCTTTCTGTTCTCTCCTTTTAGCAAATGCAGGGTCGTCTTTTACATTTGGGGTCAGTCTCTTATTGGCACCATATGCAACTTCATTGCATGAGTCAAATGAGTATGTCCACCTGTGTAGGCACTGTCATTTGTCAGAAAAACATAAAGAACTTCTCTCTGAACTAATTTTTTTTTTCAGTCAAATACAAATACTGTTTCTGAGAATACTGTATTTGAAGTTCTTTCCTTTCCTTTTTAATTCCTTTAGGCTAGGGGTGGGCAAAATGTGGCCCGCGGGCCAGATGTGAGCTGCCAGCGCATTCTATCCGGCCCATGGGGCCCCTAAAAAATTTAGAATATTAGTATTTATCTGCGCCTGGCTGCCTGTCATGCAGCCCTCGATGGCTTGCCAAAACTCAGTAAGTGGCCCTCCGCCCAAAATAATTGCTCGCCCCTGCTTTAGCCTATTTTACAAAGCCATGTCTACTTCTATGATCAGGGAGTTCTCTACATGAACAAATCTTTTATGTCATACTGTAGGACACTTAGGGCTGTGACTGCATTGTATACTGCTTATGCACATATAAGGAAATATATAACTTTAGGGATCCCCTGGGAGAAGTAAAGGCTTTTAAGAAAACTGTCTTGGGAGTTTCTCTTTCCAGGTCTAGAGAGAGAGGCTTAGCATGGAGAAGGAAGGTAGCCTCTAGCTAAAGCATACCAGATGGGACACCTAGGACTAGACCTTGTAAATGTGTAAAGAGATCTAAGTGGCATATACAGAGGTGGTTTTTTTTTCCCCCTTCATTTCATGATCCATCTTTAAGACTGAGCTGTTATAGGTTAAGAGACTTGCCAACTCTGATACAGTAATTGAAGCCATTTTTCCTTAGTGTCCTGAGGTATACTGCAGGTGGTTTTATTGAAAGTATATATTCCCTTACATCCATAGGGCCATGTCTGTCACTTCAAAGTATTACAGTAGTGGGTCAGTGTTACCCATAGTCATTTTTTACATTAAGTAGTTCTATGAAAACAAAATCCTCCTAAATTGCATTAGTACTGACAACTATCCCAGCTCAAGCTTGTCCCTTCTTATCTTGTATGCCTTACATGCAAGAGGCTGCACTAAACCATTCTCTTCCCTTTGGGAATTTAAGACTCAGTGAGGTTCCTACCTTATTGGTTGTTTTGCTATATGTTTAGTATTTTCATCATTTTCTGTAGAAAATATCAGCCTAAGAATACAGTGAGAGCTGCTGTGACCTGTCAAACTAAGACCATAAGTCCCTGTATCAAGTAGCATGCTCACTTATACATTTTCTATAATCTTCTTGTAATATGACTAGAACGATAAAAAATATATTACGTGATTTCAGGTGTGCCTTATTTTGCAGCTTAAATCACATTCTAGATTTATTTTTGCATGATTTACAAAATTTAGCAAAGGTTTTTCCTCCTTTGTGTTCTAATCTATACAAAATGCTCTGTTGTTTGGATTTGCAACTCTTTTTTTAAGGCTGTCCTTCTGTGTTAATGTTGAAGTGCTCGGATATCTGTGGGCACTAGGATGTTATGTGCAAGTACCCCATCTACACCTCTGTGATGTTATTAAACTAGCAGACCAGAATTGTTTGAGAAAATTTGCAGCAGATTGTATTTCAGAATCATAATGGTTCAAATCTGACAGTAAAACTAGCACATTTTATAGTTCTTGTCTGTATCCCTAAAAATAGTAACTGTGTTTTAAGCAGATTACTGTTATGATTAAAGGCCATTAAAAGTATTGTGACAAACTGGAGCAAATTATTGTTTCAGAAAATGACAAAGGGCATCAAGCACAGTACAAGCCTACCTTAAGTAAGGCTTATTAAAATATACAGATCCATTTATTTACTCATTATTTGCTGTTATTATTGCTAGCAACTTGATAAATTGATTGAAAAGAATTCTGGTATCACCTGTGTGCAGAATCTGATGCCAAAAATGTTACTTTGTAGCCTTTTCATTAATAAGCTGTGAATGCGCATACAAGAGACCACTAAAAGGGATTGTCTTCTGCTCAAGCTTTGTAAACCTGTCAATGTCACAAAAGATTGTTAAAACTGAGAACTATACTTGTACCAGTAGTTTCTTACACAAGCCAATAAGCAGATAAAATGCAGATTTACAATGCCTCGAGCATTTACGAAATTTTCATCCGTGATTAGAAGATTGGGATTAATTTCTACCTTAACCACTTTCAGTGTTTCTTCTCAAGGACAATAGTGTGATTTTTATCACTCTTTATAGATTGAGCCTTTTTAGGTTGGTCTTTAAGTAGTGAGCTAGAGGCAAAAAGCCATAATCTGTTGCTATTACAGTGTTAACAGCTTTGTTTTCCTAAATGAAATTTCTGGGAAAAAATAATATAGCACTTAAAGGATTAAATTGTGTCATCGATTTTATAATTTGGCTATTTTACTATAATGGAAGGTTTTAAAAAGTTTTATCATGAAAACCATATTGCAGCTGGAGGATTAACTATTCTTTGGAAGATTTAACTGTACTAATTGAAAATACTGTTCACATTTAAAGGATTTAATGTGGTAATCATTTAGAAGAATAGACAAATAAGCCCATTTTGAGGATGCCATCTTTTCTGTAGGGCTGCCAAATTATTTTACAAACAAAATATGTCTTGATTATTGTCTGTGTTTAACTGATTTTGACATCCCAGAATTCAATTCAGTCACTTCTGTGGGGCTGGAAATGAGTGCTGGTAATGTATTAAAGGCCAACACCCTGCCTTGCATGACTGCCTGTAAGAGAGGAGTGAGTAAAGAGCAGTGAGTCTTTCTCCCACTGGATCCAATGAGAGAGGCCAGTGGCGCAGAGAAGGGAAAATCTGCAACCCATCCCATCCCATATGGCCAGTACATCTAGGACCTAGGTGGTCATGCAGGCAGCTCTGGATGCGCACACTTGATGGGTTGCAAGCGGGTGCATTCCCACGTTGTAGTGGGGAGGTCAAGGATGAGAAGTGCTTCCATAATTCCAGTAGTGTCCTTTGGCCATAGTGAAAGAAGCTATTCACTCCCTGACTTAATGTGGTGCAGCATTTAATTGCCTTAATCTGCTCATCTAGGTTAAGCATAGTGATGGGGAAAAGGAATGCATCCCAATTTCAATTATGGTCTTTAAAAAAAAAATGAGACCATATTTTTTGTGCCAGTGATTTCTGTGGGAGTATAGGTTAAAAAAAAATGAATAAGCAAAATTATAGCTAATTCCTTTTTTGTCATATTTAAAGGAGGCTTAATTTTTTGGCAGCTTTCTAAGATCTGCTTGAGACTTATGAAGGGAGAACTGTTTGGGTTTCATAGGGAGATATCATGGTCAGTAACTGCAAACCATAGTTTAGTGACCTAAAAGCAACAGGTTAAATATGACCCCTGTGTATTGTTAAATTATGCAGTGTACATACACATTTTGTTCTGGTCAGATACTTGAGAAAACAGGTTACGGGGCTGCGCCCGAATGTTACTGATTTAGGTACCCGCCTAATGGTGCCCAAGAGCAATACTGGTGGACTCTGAACTCAAATAGTATATCTCCTGAAATGAAACACAACTTCCCATAGTAAGAAGGGCATGTAGGGGAGAGGGGCAGAGAGTGCGAGGGGCAAGCTATCCTTTTCTTGGCAGCTGTAATATTTCTTTCTTTTTTTTAAAACCATTCTACTCTATATAAATGACCTATTTGTCCTTCCAGATGTATTCAGGGAATGCATCAAAGCCAAATTTTTTTCTTTACCTGCCAGCATTGCAAAGTTAACCAGCTGTCTGAATAGATTGCTGTGCGTTCTGCTTCTTAACCTAGACAATAGAGATTCTGGAAAGTCAGGATTCACCCTCTACTTTTGTTGATACCTGATTCAGAATAGTACTCCACTTGCTGTTTTGCAACTATGGGGGCTATATAGCACTCTCTAACAAGGAAGTTATTAAAGTAAGCTGATATTTCAGCAATTATGCCATAAAGGATGTACGTTTTAATTTAGTTTCTAAAATTGACACCTCTCTACAATCTCCGGGAGTATTTTACAATGATCAGAAAAAAAATCAAAGATGCAGTAACAAGATTTAATATTTTTATCGCTTCTACTGAATCATCAGTACTTTATCTAAAAGTCTTCTGATCTGCTCTTAAAATTCTCCGAGTGCTGCTACACACGCTTGGTTTGCTACTGTAACTGTAACTCCAACTAGACCTCCTAATTGCCTCATTAACTTTTCATCCTTTCTAGACTTACTGTGGTATAGATTTTTACAGGCATAAAACGGTTACTAAGTTAAGTGTCCATTGGTAATGTATAATTGTAATAGATTGCTTTAGAAATATTCTTGTTACTGGTGTTTTATGAAACAACTGTTATACTTTCATTTTCACTTGCTGTGGTTTATTCATAACACACTGGCAGTATAGGAAGCACTCAGATTTCAGGTCAACTTTGTGAAAATCTATTTTGCCTAAATAAAACAGCCCTTTCCACCTTTCTGAATGCCACAAATCCTACGTAGCTTTTAATGTAAAATATATCTCTTTTTACAGTGGGCTAAATCTGGCATCGGTAGCACGACTCAGAGGTACCTGGGAAAAATTACCAAGCAAGTATGAAAAGCATTTCAGAGACCTTCAGGATCTTTTTGATCCATCTAGAAACATGGCAAAATACCGCAACATTCTTAGCAGTCAGAGCATGCAGCCTCCAATTATTCCACTCTTCCCTGTTGTCAAGAAAGATATTACATTTCTACATGAAGGTAATTCCAGACATACGGAAGTAATATAGCAAGACATTGAATAACACTTTAACCCTTTATTCCGCATTGTCCAGTGGTCTGTAGAAAATGACTAAGAAGAAGAAACCAGTGGTATGATGCACCCTCTATCTCTATCGATCCAACTAAAGTAAATATAATGTAGAATGCATAATAGAAGAGGTTGATCGTTGACAAAAAGTCAGTGGAAATGTTTAATATTGTAAAAGCTGTGGTTGAATCTTCACTACCTCCAGTCTTGGGATGGAAGAGCTTTTGATCATGCTAAGCAATAATCAGGCTACTTCTAATATGTTTCTACTGTAATATTTGTGGGGTTAGTTTCATATTGTGGCTTGCAGGAAGTTAACAGGATGCACCACTTCCTACTCAAAATACTCCCATTTATTTACAACACGTCCCTTTTAACACTGTTTTCCAATTACAGATAGTCAGCGTTAAAGGATATCAAATATGCCATATCCACAGAATGCCACAGAATTGTTTGAAGTAATTTTAAAAGGGCAAACATTGCTGATGTCAGTTGTATATTTATATAACGTATGAAGATAAATTGTTCCTAGTCAAGTTATTCCATGTTCCTCCTACTGGCAGCTGCCACCTTAGAATTGGTCTAACAAGGGCAGAGCTAGCCTTTCTAAATTACTTTGAGTGGGCTTAACTGGCACGTCTGCTTTGCCACTATACTACTTCCTGATTTTGACTGATGTTTGAATTGATAATATGTTATTAGAAAAGGTCTGTGTATTGCTTATACTTTTTGTCTGTGTTTTAAATTGCACAGGAAATGATTCCAAAGTGGACGGCCTGGTAAATTTTGAGAAGCTCAGAATGATTGCCAAAGAAATCCGACAAGTTATCAGAATGACCTCTGCTAACATGGATCCAGCCGTAATGTTCAGGCAAAGGTGCGCAATTTAAAAAAAAAAAAAGGATTAAAGATAGCTTTGATACTGTGGGTAGGGATGTTGGTTTGTATATGTGCATGAATTTGTTTTACAGTCCACTAATTTCATTTCTCATTAATACATACCGAACTGAAATGTGTACCAACGGAAGTTGCATTATGGAGATACCATTAATGCTACTAAAATTAAATGGTTTAGCTTATTTTTAAAACTAACACAGATAGCTCTCCCTTCAACAAAGCAGTTAATGGTTAATTTGGGCCAGTTTTGAGGTTCCATCTAGGACTTACCTATGCAGAATGTGATTAGATTTAAAATTAAAAAATATGATTGAAATGGGATATGGTAAAATTAGCATATATGTATATTTATTTAACATGCTTTTAAGCACAAATATTGCTGGTGATTATCTGTAACGTGACCAGTATCTTGAGGTATAGTAGCAAAATACAATATTAATTTCATTATGCAGCCCAGGAACATTCTTCCAGTTATAATTGGTCAGAGGATAGGTGAAGAGGGTTTTCTTAGTAGTAGTAGCAGTAGTAGTAGCAGCAGCCACAGCAGCAGTAATAACAACATCATTCTCTATATGCTGTATGCACATGGACTGCAAATCAAATCACTGCCACTTACAGTTTTGACCCCAGACTGCTGTTAAGTTGCTCACAATCCATTGGCTCGAATAGAAGCAGCAGCTGCTTTGTGCCAATTGTGTAATGTGCTTGAGTCATGTGATCCATGGAGATGCTATGTGCATTCCTCTGTCCTGCCCTACTGCAGCTTGCCAAACTAGCTTGTGCTGGGCAGGCTACAAGTGCTGTTGTGTGACTAGCAGCAGCGGGATCAAGGAGGATGCTCTAAACTGAATAATTAACTTTTTATGACTTTGAAAATGACATGATGAGCATCTGGGTCAGGAGATCTGCTCTGCATATACTCAACAGGTATAGGATTACTTGGGTTATTTTAGCAAGGAGAAAATGGGGTTTTACTACTGTATCCTTCAGAACAAGAACAGTTTTGAGGGAGCAATATGGACTATATTACACCTCATGCATCATCAGTGAGACTGTTCCCATTGATAAGCCACCTGTGCAGTCTTAATTGTCTTCAAATTACATCCTCAGTTACATCTGTGTAACTGAAGGCAATAACATATTGGAATAAATGAAGCCCTAATGAGAGGAAACAAGATTCTCAGGCAGAGTTTTGCCTGCAGAAGTTTTACATTAATGGTTGCCAGCTTGACCTTCATTTCTCCGGCTGAAACTTCCAGGTTGGCAGTTTGAAAAAAGCACAGTTTTACTAGAAAGTAGAGTAAATTTAATACGAAAGTACTAAGGTACACATGTGAAGACTCATTGTGTCATCTTAAGATCTTCACTTTCCAGAGTGGGAGTTCATTTTCATGATAGTGTGAACAAATAAGCATCCATATTTAAAACGATATAAGAAGCTCAAAAGTAATTCACTTGATGAATTAGTGGCATAAAAACCGTTTGTTATATGCGTAAAACATATGTACAGATTGGGTCTATAAACATTTCCCTTGTTCACTAAATGCTTCATTAATAGTTTAATTATTATATTTAAAAATAATGAATAAATACTTAGTTATGTTTCTAAATTACAACGTGCTTATTAGTTATCAATTTAACTATCAAAATGCTCTCAGAAAATGCTTAGTGCACTATTGTTACAAGTAGAATCTGAAATTAACGGAGAAAAGATTTGTTTTCAGTTCATTTACATTCATTTTCATTGTTGCTTCTGTCCTAGTCAATTGGTTTCCCTCTCCTGTGAAAGCTCCAGTAAAACGTTTTTGTTTGTAGAACACAAATGAACAAGAAGTGCTAATTCAAGTCTTTTGACAAATTTATTACCAATTAGAATAGGGCATCTAATTCTCCAGCATTTATTTGGCAATTTTTTCTGAGCAAATCAAAATGAAAAAGCATAATATCCAGTTGTAAGGGTCTTGTTACCCATTAGGATTACAATGGTCATACTGCACTAAATTAAATTAATCTTGTTATACTTACTGCAGTTTGAACTTTTCTGAAAAATACAAAGCTATCAAAGCGCTAAAAAATACAAAACCATCATCCACAAAGTAAACTCATTTGTGGGGGCTATTTAATGTGAAAATTTAACTGGAGTTTAGTTTTAAACATGAAGGTTTAAAACTGAAAAGCCTGCTGTATGTTCTTCTGTATTCATTCTAGTGTTGTAAAGTGTCCTGCCCAACTGTTCCATTAAAGTCTTGTGTTATTGTTTGAGAAGTATTTTTGCCTGATAGAAATTTTTCTTTTCTGGACTTTCCTGTCTACATCTTTCTTCCTGACTCTCAACTGTGATATTTTTCCTGTGCTTTTCTGTTCAAATACATGCTTCAATGTATATGGCTCTTGCTTACAGGAAGAAGAGGTGGAGGAGTTTGGGGTAAGTGTAGAGATGAATGCAACTAAGATAAAATAAAGGTTATGCAAACTCTTAACATACTGCATCCTTCTCATTAGTGCATGCTTCTGAAATACAGCATGCATTTTATTAACCCTGCAATACTTATTTTTGGTATACAGACATAGGGGGAAACAGAAACAAGGTGGTAAACTTTTTTCAGTCAACTTTATACCTATGGTATAAAGATCCTGTGTTGCCTTCATATTATAGATAAGTTGCTTTAACTGAAATTTACTGCAGAATAAAAAAAATGATGTCCAGTTACAGTGAAATGAAAACTATTTTTGAAAAAAAGTAAAACAGCTTTTAAAACCTGTCTGAAAAGTTTAAACCAACATGCATTGTTTTATACTGTATACATGTGTTAGGCTAGCAAAATTACAATCCTCTCAAAATATGGGGTCCAGTTATAACTGTTAATTGCAATATCTTGTATTTTTAAACCAGACTTACAAAGTATCATGGCTTGCATTTGAGGCAGGTTGCAAAATCCTCATTGGCTTCATTGGGAGTTTTGGATGTGTAATAGGGCTGTGCGAAATTTCGCTATCTGTTTCGTTTTGATGCTGTTCTGACTCGTTTTGAGCTTGAAACAGCGAAATTGGAATGAAATGAAAGGCTTTGAAATGGCCTCAAAATGAAATGAGGGCAGTCGAAATGTTTCAAAAGTTTCAAAAAGTTTTGAGTTTTGAACCAGTGCTTGTTTGCAGCTAAAGAGAAACCAAGGGGTGGGAAGGACTGCTCTCATATTGATGGTGTAGCTGGCCAGTGACTGTCATCCTTCTCTGAGGTCCCTTCCAATCCCAGTGCTCTGGGGGAGGGATGGAAAAACAGCATAAAAAGCACTGTTTGAACTGAGCTTTCTTTGTGCTTTCACACTTACAAGTGACACAAGTTTTGCTCTGAACAGTTTGAGGTGCACTTTCCCAGGAACCCCTGCACCTATCTCCTTGAAACTTGGCAGGCTTCGTGGCCTCAGCTGGGGCTACCATCCCTGCAGTTTTCATCCTGCTGTGCCGTAACACACACACGTGACACAAGGTTTACTTTCAGGAGTTTAAGGTGCAATTTCCCAAAAACTCCAGCGCCTATCTCCTTGAAACTTGGCAGGCTTCATGGCCTCAGAAGGGACTGCCATACCTGCAAGGTTCATCCAAATCAGGCAAGAAGTGACAAAGTTATAGGCAGTTTTGTGCTTCCACATTATAGCCTATGGGCGAAACGTTGAAACAGTGAAACAGTTTCAACAAAACAGAACGGAACAGTGCTTTCAAAACGAAACTCGAAACGGTGAAACAGAAGTCAAAATGAAACAGTGCTGTTTTGCACAGCCCTATTGTATAAGGAATGCAAAATAGGAGCTAAAACTATTAAAACTGAGAAAGCAGCAGTACAGAGGTATTACAGGGCAGCTTGGCACCTAGGGAAGTGGCTCTGCACAAGGCAACACTCATTGCTGTGCTGTCATCAGTTGTGGTTTGGCTAGCTGTGGCAGCACTTATATTTTGGTCCCCGTCCCCTGAAAAGGTGGCACCTGAGGCTTCTGATCTGGTTATTCTCTCCCCCCCCCACCAAGTTATGCTACTGAAGGAGTATGATCAATGAAATTAATAGCAACCCTTGTCCCTTTGAGGACATAAACCCATTAGTTCTCAGGTCATCCATAAAAGATTCTCATATTCCATAAAAGAATGGTGGTGGCTCGTATTCCATAAAATAATTCAAAATGTGAATTTCTAAAGTAAAAAAAACAACCCATAAAAATAGAAAAGATAATGATCCCATTTATAGTTTGAAGCTAGTTCTCACCTATGTATTCTCTGCTTTTCAATAACATAATAGGTACAAAAAAAAAAATCCCTTCCACATCCCACAGGCAGAATATGCATGTTTAAGGGCTTCATAGCAGGTGCCACCAACATAGAGCAAGGTAGGAGTTGCTAAAATATCACCTAGTTACATGGTTCATACAGTTTGTGGTAGTCTTTCATTATTCCTTAGCCATAAATGTCTGACTGGTGCCTCCACCAGGTTTGAATGCACCGAAACATTGATGATTCAAGAACTCCTCTTGTGAGTTTGTGCCCTTCAAAAGCCTGTAACAAATATTTGGTTATTTTTTAACACATTTGACCTATAACTTTATTTTGCATCTTGATCCTGTTGTTAGTCTAAATTTGATGAAAGTGGTTGAGCTCTGTGAGTGATTAAATGCCATTCTTTGTATAATAGACAGCTATGTCTCCTATTCTTCTTGTCCTGAGGCTCAACATGCCCAGCTCTGTTAATTTGTTCTTTAAACAATAGGCTTATTTCTGAATCTTCCTATTATGGTTCCTTTCTTCTGAACTTCTCCTGTGAATTTTGTGAGTCATTGCTATTTGACAACCCAGATCATTTAGTCTTTTGGCCTTTTGCCTTCCTGTATACCTGAGGCTGTATATCCTGCCATGCATGACTCCTTAAACAAGTCATTGCTCTTCACAAATTTGTTTACACCGAATTCACTTTTAAAGGAAAATATTTATTCTTGTGGATACTTTTAGGCATAGTTTATACACGTTTGAATAGTTTATACAAATTTGATTTAAAGCTTGTTTTAGAAGTTACCTTGCAATGTGTTTGCCTTGATGAACATTTGTAACAGAGTTTTTTTTTTATTGACCAAGACAGGTTTTCTGTTATACTCACACAGTTGAGAAAGTGTGAGACTTTATGATGCTAGAAGAACTAGCCAAGTTGGATAGTAACCAACAGTAGTAACTGTCAAATGAATCCTTGGCACTTCTAGTTAAACAAATGGTGATTTTTGTCCCACTTCCAACTGAAGCCAGTTGTTCAAAAAAGATAGTCCTTTGACCTTACAGGCAATGAAGAGGTATTGAAAAACTGTCACAGTTATCCATAGATGAGGTCTGTCCAGTCTGGGCTTAAACACGTTGATTTGGTAGCCAGAGCAGCGGTTAGAATATCATTGTCCATCTCTAGGTACTGTTTTCTATATGTCGATCTAATTCTGTGAGGAGAAAAAAAAAAAATCTCCATCCTTAGTAGGTGCCAAAACAAATCAATTATGAGTGGTATAATAAACTTTGCATATATGAGACCTTGACTTCCTTTCTTGGTTTTGTTTTTTAGGTTTTATTTTTTTACAAATTGAATATTTGCTTATATTTTTGGGATTGCTCAGTGATACAGTAGGAGAATTCAGTAATTATTCCTTTGTAGTCATTTGAGTCTTGAGGAGTTAGGTGTGTTCAGACTCAAGGAACTAGTCAGTTGGGGTGGGGGGTGAAATGACTTAAACTATTTAAAATGGTTTTAGGAAATTTGTCTGCCAGTTCAAGCTTGGCTTGATACAGTAAGGATTTGGGAGAACAAGACTAAGATGCATTACATTAGCACAGCCGTTTAGAAGCTTACACAGCATTTTTTTCTGGTTCCTGCCAGTTCCACACTTTCATGAGTACAATCCTTTTCCAGATTTAAAATGCTGCTATCAATTTTACCAAATTACTTTAAGACAGATGTTGTTTTAATGCTATTCATCTCTTTAACTCATTTGCATCAGCATGCACTAGCCCTAACTGAAGAGTTTTGGTATTAATCTGCTTCAGCAAATTCTACTTAGCACCTCAGTCTTGAAGCAAACCTGAAGTTGACTGCTTTGCACTCTTATTTTGTAGGTCTCTGAGCCAGGGCAGCACAAACTCAAATATGCTCGATGTTCAAGGAGGTGCTCACAAAAAACGTGCCCGACGCAGTTCGCTCCTTAATGCCAAGAAGCTATATGAGGATGCCCAGATGGCCAGAAAGGTGAAGCAGTACCTGTCCAACCTGAATGTAGAAACTGATGAGGAAAAATTCCAGATCATGTCGCTTCAGTGCGAGCCTGCGTATAGCACTTGTAAGTAAAGCAAGCGTCACTTCAGTCTGCCAGAGGAATGGATTATCCCATTTGCCTTGCCAACCTTTTTGATTATGATCACATGCTAAAAGCATAATGAATGTGTGCTAGCAGAAGTAACACAAAATCCTCTTCAGAGATTGTCACTTCTTGGTTGCGTACAGGATTTTAAAATGATAAGCTTACCCCTCAAACATAACTTTAGAATTATTTTTTCCTAAACTAGCTGCAAAAAGAAATGTGTTTGCCAGTGCAGCTGCTAACAAATTGGCTAGGGCAGTTTCAGCAACCCAGCATTGGCTTCTGTTTTTGGTTGAGTTTGCAGAAGCTTGGAGTGATGGCTCCTTATTTTTGACCTTTACTTGTTAAGATGTGCGTCATTTGATCAGTATAGCCAAGAACTGTGTAGCGCATTAGATCTGCTCTCGCTGCATTGTCAGTTTACAGAATTAGGGAAAGATGGAAGTAAAATTTACAATATGAACTGCAAGGAAATGAAAAGGCACAAAACCAATATAAAATCTATCTGTGGAAAGGGACAGATAAGCTAATTCATGTATTATGGCTTAAAATAAGAGAACAGCAGCAGAAAGGAGAGTTATGCCAATATTGACGGATGAGCTTGATACAACTTGATAATCAGAAATGAAGGGTTGTGGCAAAAGGAAACTTACAAACTGAATTCCCATGGAACAGCCTAATTAAATATAGTCTAAACTAGATCGTAGCTGAATAGCCCGACAACTCAGTACATTTCTAGATTTTTAAAATAAGCATTATAATTCCATATGATTTAGATATTTAATTATTTGACGTGGCATAAAGAAATTGAGGTTATTTAGCAAACGAAAAAAATGTACATTAGCAGATGGAGATTAACACTGTACACTTGTTGACTGGCTTGCATCTGAGGATTTCAGAGCGCTTCAATGGCTAAATAAACTTCTCAAGTCCTTTATGATACAAGTAATAATATGCTCATATTATTACTGGGTTAACAGTACGAAGAGAGCATGACTAGTTTATTTTAGTAATGGTAGTTCTTTGAAACTCTGGCGGATAGGTATACTTGTGCCTAGTTGAGGACATGAGATCCACATATATTCTCTCGTTGCATTTGAGACTCTGCTAAATGCCTAAAGAAACAAAACAGCTATCCTTAAGAGAGAAATGCAAAATATTAACGGAACCTTTCTGTTACTTGTCCTGTATATTCAGCAAATATGGTAATAGCACATTAAGTTCATGCTTAAAGGCAGAAACTGCATTTTATTTTTATGTTCCATTTTCTGTAGCAGTGTCAATAAATAATAGAACATATAAAGATGAAGTCTCAATATATGATTTACATGCAGACTTGAAAGATGACCTTATTATGCCCAAGTGGCAGAAACATGAATATTATGAGGTCATCTTTCAATTCTCATAAATAAATTATGTATCCAGACTTCAAGTACTGTGTGTCCTGTTTATGCAACAGGAGGTTTAAGTATTTGTTTAGCAATAAAAAGTTTGTGCTCTTTATTGATTATTTTATTCTATGGGCCCAGGCAATCCAAGTCCACTTTTTGTGAGCCTTTTTATAAGAGGGTACACATGAATAAATGTGATGGAGGGCTCTACTAAGGTATAAATAAAAGGAAAGCAAACTGTTTCATAGATTCACAGAAGTTTAGGGCTGGAAGGGACCTCGTGAGATCATCGGGTCCAGCCCCCCTACTCTGGACAGGAAGGACTGTGGGGGTCAAATAACCCAGCAAGGTGTGTGTCTAATCTCCTTTTGAGGATCTCCAGGGTAGGTGCCTGCACCCCCTCCCTGCTGCTGGGAGTCTATTCCAGAGTCTGGTCACATGAACCACGAAGAAGTTTTTCCTTGTATCCAGACTGAAACCTTCTTCTAGGAGTTTGACCATGGCTCCTGGTTTTCCCCAGGACACCTCTGGTGAATAGTTGTTCACCTAGCCCCTGATGCTCAGCTCTGATATATTTGTAAGCTGCCACCAAATCCCACCCCCCCAAAGTCTTCTCTTTTTTTTAGGCTGAATAATCCCATATCTATCAGCCTTTCCTCATTATGGCTTGCTCTTCATGCCTCTAATCATATGAGTGGCTCTTCTCTGGACTTTCTCAAGCTTCTCCACATCTGGCTTGAAGCGTGATGCCCAGAACTCAACGCAGTACTCCAGCTGTGGCCTCACCAATGCCAAGTAGAGCAGGAGAATAACTTTCTTAGTTTTGCTTGAGATGCATCGGTTGATTTGCACTAAACAGCTAGGAGGAGTTGCTTTGGACTCCTGTACCAGTCATCTTAAAACATAAGCAATGAACAACTTGTGCAAGGAGAAGACTTGAATATAGGTGACAAGGTGTGCTCTATTCTCAGCTGTCAAATACAGACTCCAGCCAGTGTTTCATCGTAAGAACTAGTTTTACCTACCCCAGTAAGACTAACTGTCTTTTCTGACTCTTACCCTGCTAAGGAAATAGTGAATGAAAAGAAATGTGGCACCTTGGGTTAGCAAGAAACATGGCCCCAGTTTAGCAAGCTACCTAAGCATGCACCTAACTTGCAGCATTTGTGTTGATCCTAGTGCGTTCAATGGATTTACTCGCACTCTTAAATTTAGGCTCATGTTTAAATGTCCTCCTGAGTCAGAGGCTTGATTCATGGACTCCTACCCTAGTGTAGGTAATCTTTTTTTGCTGACATCCAGAAAGGTACAAACACGTTACTTCTCAGGTAGTTTTCTGAATATGAAAATACTCCCAACTTTGCTTGAAGCAAGACTTGATACTAGCCCTGAGTCCGGTTGCCAGAACAGCAGTGGCTCCAGTTCTGTAATCCAGATATTGCAGAGTTGATTTAAGGGAAAAATGCAGCGTCATAAATGGCACTAACTCAAAAACAAGTTTAGTAATTGCATAGTAGTTGAAGTAAAAGCTGAAACGATTCATCTTGTGCTACAAGTGAAGTGTGCCACCTAGTGAAAGTTTTGTGATGCCATTTGAAGGACAAGCATATATTTTCCATCCTGTGTGTTGTGCTTACGCTTTTCACAAGGGGACACTTGTATGCTTGCAGTAATACAATATTTTCTCTGTGGAGTTCAGATATAACGAGTAAACCAGACCATTTTTGCTTTGTCATTTTGCCTGTATGACTATTCTGGAGAGTTTTAGGAATGTTTTAAAATAGATTTTGGAGGCTTTTATGTAAAAATTAAAGAAGTCAGAAGCTCCTTGAATTGATTGCATCTACTTTTGCCATATGATAAAATGTTCGAATGTGGCTGCTATTGTCTGGCTGATGTCTTCAAGATAACTATAGCATTTTTACTGTTTAGAGTGGAAGATTGGTTATTTTCTGGGGTTTTTTCCCTTTAAAACAGTGACAAAGAATTTAAGTGAGAGAAGAGGTGGGAAATCCTCAGAAATGTCTCCAATACCCTTGAGGTCAGTTGGCCAAACCACAAAAGTTCAGCAGCATCAGCAAAACAGGATGAGCCAAGTTCTTCAAGTTCCTGCTGTTAATTTGCATCCCATTAGAAAAAAGGGACCAGCAAAGGACCATGTCACGTTTAGTGAGTATTTGCAATTTATTTTCACATTTTCAGTTTTCTAAATTGTGTATTGTGTCAGTTCAGTGAGGAGAGAGGAGTTGAATTCCACAACAAGCAAATATTTGAAATGCTCATTATGCAAGTAAATGTACTTACCTGTCCGGTACATTCTGTGTTTTAAGGTTTTATGTATCCTTTTTACCTACAGAACATCTCAAATACATTTCCATTTAGCTGCATAACGAAACATAGGCGAGGTACAGACATTGAAAAAGTCTGGCACAGAATTGATCTAAGTTGCATGGTTTTCTGTAAGCGGTGTAGTTTAGATCGGTAGTGAACATAACACGTATTTGCCCTTTAGTGGGAGTGGAGGGGGAAAGGGGCAAATCTTAGACCAGGTTCTGCCATTTTTAAACCAGTCTGTGTGCTGAACTTTGTTCTGTTATGAGTAAAGACTGGCTTCTGATCGCTGATACCAGTACAAGTGGAATGTCTGTACCTGGCCATAACGTGTATCTCAAAAGAGGATATGAAAGGTGGTCTGAATTACTTGCTCATGTCTCTCTGTTCTTAATGTTTTAATTAAGAGATTCTCAGTGTCTGGAAAGATGCTTTCTTGCTTTAATTCTATAGGCCTCTTTCCTAATTTATAAATTAGCAAGAAGAAAAACATTGCTACAAAGAGTACTATTTGAAAAAGTTAGCCTGCTTTATTAGCCTAAACCAGGCTAATAAAAGTGATCCTAAGCCCGCCAACAAAAACAGTCAGGTAACAAGTGATTTAACATTGTGCCTAACAAGTTTTTGCTCTTTTCCTGAATGGAACTCTTACCAAACTGTGTAGAATCATATTACTTATTTACCTTCATAACATAATTAATATAATATATGTTAGGGAGTGTAATCACAAAAATAAATCACAGGAAATTTAATATTTCAAGGCCTGGAGAGCCATTGTAATAGCATTATGGTCTAACATGAAATGTATGTTTTACTATTATTACTAACTCCTAGTGAGCATCAAATAGTACTTTATTTAGCTATTTTCTTTGTTTTCTAAAATTACCGATTCTAAAGCCAATACATGAAATTGCTGCAAAAATATTTAAATCTCTTCCATCTTTCTTACTGAAGTTGGATTACTGCATAGAAAGGAATGTGAGGTTTATGGGACTGGAAGGAGAGCAAATGAGGAGCATGATTTTGTTGGCCAGTGCAGAGCCGGTGGGGCATCCCCTGGGATTGGGATGGGCGGAGCCCTGGATTTCTGTGCCTGTTCCACGAGCTGCTTATTCTCGCTCTTAAAAAGACAGGTGATTAAAATACATAGACAAAATGCACAGGCATATGATAGGTGTCAAGCATCTCAGTCAAGATAGAGTTAGATATGAGTTTGCACAGTAGCAGAATTTGAGGGTGTGTATAGACAAAATGGGGGCTCTAAATTGAAGTGGTGGGTTTTAAAAAGCCCCGCTTCAATTTAGGGCTAATTAAACCCCTGTGTCATGCACACACCTTACCTGCCTCTACGGTGGAGAGGGCAGGGTGAGCTGCCGGCAGGCGGAGCCGTCCCTGAGCTGCGGGGGCGGGGAAGGGAAGGGGGTTTGGTGCTTCCCTCCATGGCAGTGGCAGACACCCGCCCAGGTGGCACCCACCCGCAGGCACCCAGCTCAGGCAATCCTGGGGGGCACTGCAGCCGTGGAGGGAAGCACTGGGCCCCTGCACAGCTCTGGGAAAGCCAGCTCCACCCAAGAAAAGCAGCGAGCCTGATCCTACTTTTTCCCCCCATCCTGGAGCCTGCCTGCCTGCCAGAGCTGTGCAGGGGGTGCAGGAAACAAACTCCTCTGTGGGTCTGGTGCTTTGCTCCACGGCTCAGAGGAGTTTGTTTCCTGCACCCCAAGTCATTTAAGGCACATTACGCTGCCGAATTTCCTACGGCAGCTGGAATTAATGCACAAAACATAGCCAGCTTTAAAGTGTCATGCACACGTCTCATTTAGTCTACACGCAGCCTTAGGTAAGCTTTCTGGTTAAAGTTTATGTACTAAGGAGTTAGATGCAGCTTTGGAATATTGCTCACTTGGCCTCGCTTGCACTTTAGATAACTTGATGCATTTTTGGAGTTGGCTTTAAGTTCTTTACCACGTGATGCAAGTTGCTCTCGGTTTCTTAGCAGGCAGCATGGTACATCAAATGTGTTGTGCCACATGACTTGCATAACTTCCTTTAAAATGCAAATCTAAGGAAATAAAACGTACATCAAAATGCTCCCATTAAGGGGGTAGAACTCATTTTATATTAAGCACACTATCCAATTTTTTCTTATTCCTGTCAGATGCAGGCTGTAAGATTTAAACTCCACATACATAAATGGTATTAGGTTTTATTTATCCCCTGCAGCATCTGAAATCAGACTCAGCTCCCTATTGAAACTTTCATGCCAGACCTAAGTGGGCCTGGTTCCACTTAGTCTTACCTCCCTTTGTGAAAACAGCTTAGGACACCTGTTGAACTGTTGGAGGTCGGGCCTCTTGGATCCTGGAGCAATTCCAGTATCAGTCACACCCTCTCAAACACTTGTAAATCAGACCATTCCTTAAACAGTGTTGTGAACATAACATTTCACATCTGTGTATTTGTGTGCTCACTGCACAGTATGATTACTAACAACTGGCAAAGTAAATTGGGGAGACATAAATACTATACTAAGTCTATAATACTCCTTGGCTTTCAGGATAAAATAGTCTTTCTTTGAAAAGATTTGTTTGGGAGGGCGGGAGGTATGATTGTATTGTGAACTCATAAAATATAGTAAGAATCATTGCATTTCTCAGTGCATTTCTTCTGAACTCTGCAGGATATGAAAGCCAAATATTTGGCCCTTCTTAGGTGTATGTGGTGCAAATGGCTGAACTTTTAGTCTACAGAAAACAATTTTTCCCTGTTTTTTCACCAGCTCATTCAAAGAGTAGGGAGCAAGCTCTAATACGTCACGTGCAATAAAAATCCTAAAGCAAATGAAACATCACATCTGTCTCCTAAATGCTTGGTGTTAATTTTTGAATAAGCATGAAGCTAAAATTATAATGGTCTGCATGTAATCGTCTCTTCTGTGCACGCAAATGTGTCTGAGCACCTGAACATCTTTTTGCATGTACAATAACCTGATTTTCACGTCATTGATTCATAGAAGTAGGGTTGGAGGGGACCTGAGCAGATCATCTAGTCCGATGTATTATGTAGTAATCTTCATAATTGCCGAGACACACATATAGTCATGCCTGTGAAGTTCATTTTTCTGTGCAGACCTCAAGCAGCTTTTCATCTGGCCTTATAATATTCTCTGTTGAAAATGGCATGCAGTTGTTTTCTAGTTTGCCCATGAGTCGTACACAGTTGGAAGTATGCTTAAAACTGTATTTGCATACAGCTACTCAGAGGTCCTATGTCTGTCTTGTGTACTTGAGATGAAAAACATAGTGGGAATTTAATAGAATACATACTACCCTATACCGAACATGCAATAGGGAATTGGAAAGGTCCAGTTCCATGTTTTTCTTCAGCTGTGCTCCCTATACACCTTGTCTCTTGAACTGACCCTCTCTGTGCTACGAGCATATGCTTTTCCATGCTGTCCCAGCAGTGCACTGGAAGAGGGCTTCAGATCCCATAGCTTAATTCAGTCCTTGGTGTCTGTGCCAGAACTGCCAACCAGCCTGTCAATTGTGATGGTTCCAATTATCACTTGGAAACCACTAAACTCATTTCAGGTGGACCACTGAGCAACCATTAGATTGTAATATCTTTTGGCCACTGCAGACTTGAGCTAAATTTGAAATGGCAGACCACTCCTGTGTTACACATCCCTTTGATTGTTTCACACCTCTTTTTCTGCATGTTTTTAAGTAGAATACACTAACCATTGTACGCTTTGAATGTTGCAATTAAAACATAGTAAATGTACTGCTTGAAAGAAAGATAATGCATAGTTAATTTCTCTGTCATTTGCTTATATACAGGTTCTCCTCAGAAGTCCTTAAGTTTGTCAGAGGAAGTAAGTAAGAAACAAGCAGAAGATGCTGTGTCTGTGGCATCTTCTTTGCACTCCAGTCCTCTTGCATCTCCTCAGGGCTCTCCACGCAAAGGTATGGATATTTCAGTAACGTTTTACGTGCTATACTGAAGCTTTAATCTGAGGAACTCAAGATTTTGCTATAAGTATTCCCTACCCACATTTTCAGTGATTCTTTTAATTGATTCTGGGAACTGGGGTATAGCGCCTTTATGTTGAGAGTAGCTTTAGAATGAAAAGGTTTGATGGTAGGAGTAGATGAATGTGTTGCAGTAAAATATAATGTGATTTTTTTTCTAGTCGCGTTATTTTTTGCACTTAAGCCCAAAATTAGGTGCTCTAGAAAATTTTTATCTGCAGAGTCCCATTTTCAAAAGTGACAAGTATTTTGGAACCAAAGTCGGATTATAACTCATTGGAATAGACTCCTAAGTTACTTTAGTAAATGAGAGTAAAATGCCTGTCACTTGAGGACTTTTACAAAAGTCACCCTATATCTGAGTGCTTACTTTGGAGGTTTTATGTACGTCTGTTTTAGCAAATTCAAAGTGCTCTGTTAAAGTAAGTGTGTTAAGGAATCCATCAGCATCCCTTTAACTTTGATTCTAATTATGCAGTAAGTCTGCATTATGATTTTTCCTGTTTTAATTAGCTTCAATATGTTTTAATGATTAAGATAAGTCTTTCCCACTCCCACCAAAAAAAAACTTCTAATCAAATTCTAATTTTTGCTGCACTGTGCTCTGATGGTATGGTGCCACTGTCTTCTGTGGCTCTACAAAATAGGATTCAGCAATTGGAGAAAAGTACAAGGCATGACAAATAAGTAACTCATCCTGTCAACTCGCAGGACTCACTGTTCATATTTTTGTATCCGTATGCAGGGTCCCCCCTGTTTATCATGATGTCCCAAGGCTTGCCTTTATTTTTATATGCTGTACCTACATTACAATCCTTACTAGCCAAAGTTAGACGGGATGCCCTTTGAAATCTGTTAATATTGCTTATTAGTCGGTCAGAGCATAAGCATTTCTCACTTCTTTCTTTACCGTGAACTGTTCTTGTTGTTTCTGAATAACTGAAAACTCTGAAAAACTGGATTGGGGTGTCATGGCCAGGCAAGGCAGTTTACTGAATCTTCTTGCCCTTTTCAGTGGGCGATCATACTGGACAGAGAATTTCATGAGACTTTTTTTTCTGCCATCATAAGACACTGTTTCATTTAAGAGGACGACTGATATTTTTTTTTCACATTATCTGCATGAAAAGTGTCTTTGTGGCTTTATTACTTGGACCTGCTGCCAATTCTTGATCTACGCTGGGGCTTTCAAGGGTTTCTTTTGTTTCTGTGTTTCTTAAAAACATGTGATTTGTATCAACTTTTATCTGGTTCCGTGAAAGCCATGTCGTGTTTCTTAATGTTATTTCATTAGTTTGACTTGCTTTCAACTTGTTTCTTTTCTTTTATCACTAACTTGTTTTGATCAGTCTGCATCCAGTCCTGTCTGTTGTGCTAACAATTCATTACTTTACTAAAATTAGATGTGCACTTCATAAGCAACTGAAATACCCCATCGTGAATACTCTTCACTTAGCTCTTCAGTTGCAGGGTTTTTCTCTCTTGAGCTATACCCCAGTGCCATTTTAAAAGGGGGGAAAAGCCCATATATATTAGTCAAAAAGTTTACTACCGTTCATGTTATGTCATTTGACCAGTGTCTATATGTTTTATATTTCTTTTTTAGTTGGTAACATCCAGAGGTCTGATAATTGCAGTCAGATGAATCTCTCTGGATCCTCTTCATCACTTGCCAGTGAAACCAGTAACAAGAACAGTGGGCAACGCAGCTATGGAATAGGTGGGACTTATTTGCAAAACAAAATTCGGGAGATCACTGGCAGAATGACACACACTTCTAGAGGCAGTGAAAAGAGAGACTATGTGGCAGATAGAAATGAAGCAGAACTTGAGTGTACAAACAGAAAGAGACTGAAATTTCAAAGACTTAGGGAAAGAAGTTTCTCCAGGGAAAGACCAGCTTTTACCAGTGAAAAGGAGGCAGATCACCGCCAAGCTACTGAAAGGAAGGAAAAACAAATGGACATAAACAGTGACATCCTAAGCATAAGTAGCCATGGCAACAGGAGTCAGTTTTGTTGCTTCTGCTCACGGTTGAGGCTTAAGAGGAGAAATACTATATGATGCCATATGTCCATTTTTATCACAATTATACATACATATCGAAGCATAGTAAAATACGTATTTTTTAGCTTATTAACAAATATTGTTAAGCTTTTTGATTAATTGTAGCATATTTTGCCCAGTCAAGAGTGTACAGTATAAAATGAATCAGACGCGTCCTATTCCCAGCTTTTTTTTCATGTTAAATCCTTATATTCTCCTTTTTACTCTGCTAAACTATCTATCTAAATTTAGGTTAAGTTATTTTATTTAGCAGTTATAGTCTGTTTATACATACAGTGTTATTTAATATTGTAATTTCCAGATAGCTTAAATCTATTTTAAAAGAGTAAATATTTTGTTTGCAGAAATCTTTAAGATCTTCCAGTGTACACTGTGATGATGTTTGTTGTCATGGTCTAATCATTTAACCTCAAGAGCAGACACTTGCTTTAAGCAAAAGTTAGACATAGGCGAGTGAAATCTCAAAATATATGGTATTGTATATAATTATCCTGAAAAGTAGGACCCTATCAAGACATTAATGTACTCTTATTGGGTCCCCTAGTTTGATAAAATGTCATGAAAATGTCAGCTTCAAAGTTTATTTGTGTTTTTTAAGCTTCAACAAACCTAAAACTAGTCTGTCAAAATGTAGGGGTTATGTAGCATGGCCATTGACTCTGAATGTCAGTGTGTGAGATCATCACAGTTATCTCAGTCTGCATGTCATCAATCACTGGGATGAGTATGCGTGTCCCTAAAATTGTTTTCAAATAAACAGGCCTATTCAGATTTTTCTCTTAATTTTAAAGTAAATATGTCACCATCCAACCCAAAGATAAGCATGTAGTTTTTGTTTGCTTTAAAGATGAATTGTGAAACTGTTGACCGAGGGCAGGAGGTTAAAAAGGGAATCTGTCTGACAGCTGAATCCCAACTGGGAGTTTGCCTGGTACTTCATAAACAGAATGGATCATGCTTTGATTGATTTATCAGGGAATCTGTACTGAATATAAGCTAAGTAACTTAATGATTCATGCTGCTCCCCACGCGAAGGCTCAGATGCATCACAGTCTAATAAGTCTGTTGTCTTTCTTAGTCCAGGCAGGGGGCACTGATGAAGTCCAACTCAAATGGATTTTGTTTCCTCTACATGTGGCCGTACGGCACCTTTGTTAAGGCGCCGTCATTTTGTACTCCCTGTTGGAAGTACTAAAAGATGGCACAGCAACAGCCTGTATGGTGCTGTGCTGGCCATGCATGGTTATTCTTGGCCACTATGATGCCGTAGCAATGTGTTACAACAAGGGAGCGCTTTGCTCTGGCGACGTAGTGGTGGCATCATGATTTTTGCCAACGGATGCTATGGCACTGTAGCGTCTTGTGTAGATGCACCCTTTGGGAACTTAAAGAAGAGTGACTTTCTAAGTAATAAAAGAAAGTTGAAGTGTTTATCTAAGGTGGGTTGCCCTTCTCCAAATAAGGCACATCCCATAAATGGTAGAGGAGGCAGTTATCTTAAGCAAATTGGTAACAAAAGCAGATTTGAGAGGTCTGTGCTTCTAAGTTAATTTTACCTGCAATAATATTTGTTTTAATTTTCAAATAAGTCTGTCATAGTAGGATAGAAAAAAAACAGGAGCTGATATGGTTTCATACAAGATGCTTCTTTTTGCTACCCATTGCTCCAAATCAGCTCCTTGGACCAAATTAACTGAATCATTAATTAAAGCAAAAAGGCTTTAGTGGTCCAGCCAAATTTCCGTTGGCAGTGTATAACATATTGCAAGAAGGAGCTCAGAGTGATGAGAGAAGCATTTGTCATAATTTCCATTTAACACAACTTTTAAGGTCAAAACAAGAGGGCAATTTCACTGTGACATGCATTGCAAATGATATGCCATTGCAAGTGCAGTCTGTTCTGTACTTGAAGGGAAGCACAGCATTAGTGCAGGAGGCAAATCAGGAAAACTGCCATAACTCATGCTGGAAATCAGCTGCTAGCAAAAACCATATTAAACTTCCAACATATGTTACTTCATTTTAAATAGATTTTCAGAGTATGTTTGTTTCATAAAATAACTGAGCTGATGTCTTAGAAATAGCCCCACTCAGCACAAGAGGGGTTTGTAGACATCTAGTACTTAGAGTACTTTAAAAAAAAAATTCATATGCTTCTCGGGAAACAAGATGTCAGTCTGTAAATATCAGACAAGGGCCCGCAGGCCTTGCCTAACTAATATCTGAGCACACCACGTCCTTGCTTGGCAGGTAAGGGATTTTCCTGTCACTTAGTTTTTGAAAATAGAGCTTGAGCCTCAGAGAATTTATTCCGAATTTCAAAGTGCGCCAAGTACAGCCAGGTCTTTGTATTGGGACCAACCCACAGAAAAGGAACTGAATGTAGGGTTAATGAAAGCTGATTTAATTGTATGGATTTCAGGTCTGGATCAAGTTCAACACATCCAGAGTCATAACACAATCCTAAGGCTTCCTGTAAGACAGATTTGCCAGAAATGGGGACTTACTTAACCCAACAACCAGTAACTTCTAATAGTCCCATTTTAAATGTTGGTAGCCCAGATAAATCTCTGTGCAAAAATCATGTGTATTATCAAAGCTAGAGGGGTTGTTTTGGACCATTTTTGACTCTAGGAATCTCTCTCTTCCTCTCTCTCTACCAGTTTGGATTCAGTGGTACAGAGTTAGTAGCAGTCCTTTGTAGCACTAGTTCAGCTGTACTGCCTGCTGTGATGGAGACTCGCACCATCCTAGTCATTTTATTCTCAGCAGGTATTTAGGTAAAGCACTTCAGTTCAGGAGCACTGGGCTACACTGTAGCTTCCAGCATTGATTGTTAAATGCTTTGAGTCTCCTATGTTGTACCTTTGGGGTTTCAACTCACATGAGAATGGCTAGCTTAAATTAAAAATTAACAGTAGAGTAAAGAATGAAGTAATTATGTATCCATTTACCCTGTTTTAATCAGAGTTGGGAAGCTGAATAGTTATATCCTAGTCAGCTAAAACTGTAATAGTTGCTGAGCCATTTGGAGCAGGTGATATGTTTAAAGGGCAAAAATCTGCATCTGGAGCCTATCTGCTCTCAGTTCTTGGTGCTATGTGGTAACCTTTAACTTACCTTGAACTGTGCTGGTTGGGAATAGACATGCTGCATATTCTCTAAATCAGCCTTAGAGCATACGTTGGTACTTTTAAAACAGAGGTTATTTGCTACAGACACATTCCTTGGACTGCCCTTTTTAAACTCTTGTGCTGGTAGCCTTGTCTTTCAGTTGACAGTGGTTGTGTTTACACGAGCAGCAGACTGCACAGTTACTGTGCAGTACTGTTGCCACACTTTTTGATGGTACTGCACAGTAACTCATTACTACTTTGCAGTATCGTTCCTGCACGGTTAGTGCCAGCAACGCTGCTGCATGGTAGCAATGAGCTACTATGCTGTAGCATCTTGTGTGGATGCACCGACTGTCTTCAATATGATTTTCTTCTTACCAAGCATTCTCAGAAGACTCTCGCGAAGTTAGCATGGCCACAAACACAGATCTTCAGGAATGAAGTGCATCTTCTGTGGCCCATGCTCAGAGCTGTTTTTTGAATCTACCTGTACTGGATCAATGGCCTGGGTTTCCAGTTAATGCTTCTCGACAATATTTTTCTTTCTTTCTTTCTTTTAATATGGCACCTGCACTTTTTGCTTAGCATCCCCTGTTAGTATTCTCAGTGGCAAGGGGTGAAAGATGAGGTTTAATCTGGTTTGAAGTCCAAGCAGCATTTTGACAGAAAACAGTGTTCTGTTTTCTTTTGAAAAGAGCATTTTTGTGCCTCTTAAGTCAGAAGAGGTTTTTTTTCTACCTTGACAGCTTCCCTCTCTGCTGCCAGTTGTTTTCTGCAGCTGCGGGTAATAACAATCCTGCCCATATTGCAGCTGCGAATATTCCTCCTAATGTGTCAGATCTTTAGACAGACTTAACAGTCTTCAAAGAGAAACCGTAAGAAAATGAGCAGACTAAGAAATGTTACAATGTATGACTATGCTAATGATTATTAAATTAGTTTGCTTGGATTACAGTAGTACCTGACAAGCCTCAAGAATCAGGGAATCATTGTTCTTGGCACTGTATGAACAGGAGCAAAAAGGAGAGATCCTTTTTCAGAGAGCTTGAAATCTAAGTATCAAACAGGAAACAAGGCTGAAGACGAGGCAAAATGGGGAGTCGGAGGGTGAAAGCTTTGGGTCCTAGACGAGCAGCAGTTGACGGGACCAGAAATTCCAGCGTGCAGGTCTAACAATGCAGTCCTAGCACGGATGCCGCTGTGCTTCTTCCTGGGTCGCTTGTTTCAGTGCTCTGCCCATCCTATGTGTGAAACAAGCTCTGCCTAGTAAAGCCATTTTCTGGCAAAACTGTATCTACAGCAGGTGCTTCTGCTGGCACAACCTGTGAGTCGGGGATCACAAACCTTCATACCTTCTTTCCCCAGTATAGCTATGCCAGCAGAAACCAATAACCTTTGAAAATCACAATCTTATATGTCACTTAATGCTGCCAGAGAGAGAGTTTGATTTATAGGAGTTATATCTGAGAGGGGGAGAAAGAAGGACTTCTTGAGCACCAGCCAAGTAGAAGTGAGCTGTGCATTTGGTTGGCTTGTGGGAGTGAGTCCTGTTGTCTGGGTCCAGCTCCTGTGAAAGCTCTGCTTCCCGTGCCTGCGAGCCTCCCACTGTCATTTCCTGATTCATTATTGTCTAAATACATACAAGAACGAGAAGGAGCATATGGTGCGTTCCTCCGTACTGACAGTTAATTTTGACTTTAATTAGCATCTCCTCATTCCATCCCACAGTCCTCTACCCCCGAGTCTAATGTTGAATCTCACATACACCCAGGCTGCACAGAAGAGCTCTGGGAAATGCATTGCTTGGATGCTTAGGTTGCGGTATTTAAGCCAACCTAAAACACCAGCGAAATGGCAACTTTACTTCTTGCCATGGAGCTCCCGCTAGCCGACTGCTTCGTGTATTCACATGTTGTATCGATAAATTCTGACAGTCTTGAGGGCATCAGTAGCATAAAACCTTTCAAGAAATGCCCATCAAACAGCCTGGCTGAGATGTTCTTGATATAGTGCTTTAATGTGGTGGCAAATAAATATTTTATTTGTTTTGCTTGCTCCATGTCTAAAGCAGGCTTCTCTTTTCTTGTTTAGGCTATGCTCTCATACCTTCTGCCAAGTCGGATAATTTCTCAGACTCCAGCCACAGCGAGATCTCCTCGCGGTCCAGCATAGTGAGCAACTGCTCTGTCGACTCCATGTCTGCAGCCCTACAGGACGAGAGGGGTTTGCCCCAGTCTCTTAATGTCGTGGATTCGGTGGGACCAGAAAGAAAAGAACATCCTCCACCATTGGCTGAGTACAGTCAGCCTTGCCCAGGGTGAGGAGCTTTCTTCCTGCGTGCTTGCTTGAGAAAAGAGTAGTGAAGGCTTAACTAAGATACTGTTATCAGTTATATTGTAATTATTCTTATTATTATTAACTGGTTGACAGCAGTCCACATGATAGCTGCTTAAAATGTAGGGGAAGATGCAGGGTTTTTCCCAGCACGATTGCACTATAATTTAAACAGATAGCAGCTTGTTTGCATCAGCAGGATGTGGTCGGACGTCTCAGGCAAGAGACTGCAAGTGCATTAAGCACTAATAAGATATTTAACAAATAACCTGCTGTAGAGTACTGAGGACGACAGCTGAATGAGACTAGGAAACAAGCAATTATCCACTGACAGTCAGCAATATCAGTCGCATAAATACTTTAATGTGTGACCCAAACTTTTTTTTGGGGGGGGG